GGTTGAGTGGACAGCGCTCGGGGTTCGTAGTCCTAGTGACCGAAAATCGATCTCCGGCGATGTCGGAAACAAATGGGCAGAGTTTCCTTCACCTTGATACCTAGTAGTAAATAGATACCTAGGAGTTAGACAACTGCTACGGGCTGCTTCCTGGAGTTGTGTGTGTGTGAAATAATAAAAAATAATAAGTTTATCGATTGACAGTTGAGAGGCGGGCCGAAAGAGCCAGAGCTCAACACTCGCAATCACAACCAAGTGAATACAGCTTGGTGAATACAGTTTCAAAAGTTGATATGGCAGAGCCCAGTAGGCTCAGAAATCTGTACATCAGTTGATTGACTGTTGAGAGGCGGGACCAAAGAGCCAGAGCTCAACCCCCGCAAGCACAACTAGGTGAGTGCACTCGCCTAGTTGTGCAGAAGCAAATGGGCAAAGTTTCTTTCACCCTGGTGCGCCTGTTAACCTAGCAGTAAATAAGTACCTGAGGGTTAGACAGCTGCTACGGGCTGCTGCCTGGAGATGCGTGTGTAAGAGAAATATATGTAGACATAACAGAGGAAAAATAAATTGGTTAGAAAGGCGGGGTCCAAGAGCTAATAGCTCGATTCTGCAGATACAAATAGTAAATACACACACACACACACACACACACACACACAACTAGGTGAGTACAACTAGGTGAGTACACACACAAACACACACACACACACACACACACACACACACACACACACACACACACACACACACACACACACACACACACACACACACACACACACACAGTTACAGGATGAGAGCTACGCTCGTGGTGTCCCGTCTTCCCAGCACAAAGAGTGCTGGGAAGACGGGACACCACGAGCGTAGCTCTCATCCTGTAACTACACTTAGGTAATTAAAATTACACACACACACACACACACACACACACACACACACACACACACACACACACACACACACACACACACACACACACACTCGCATATACATACACGTACATAAAATCGTATCCTTTGTCATTTGTGAAAATATGTAATTTTAAAATGACAAAAAAAGATGGCCCTCAATGAGGCTGTTGATGTCCGTTCCATCAGTCCCTCACGTGTCGTAACACAATGAGACTAGATGAATGTGAGAGTGACTCTGATTGGTTGGGAGTTTCAGGCTCGACCAACCAGATACTCTGTTGTCACGACAGAGCGCCAGCGCTCTCCCGCCCAATTGGCTGACTGGGGCTCAGTCTGCTTCTGCCACTCGACGAGCGTGCTCCTGGCGCCCTCCACCTCAGACTTTGTCATCGACGTCTGTACAAAAGACTGAATTATTGTTCCTGAGTAGTGGTATGCTCTCAAGCAGTGTTCTGTAAGGAAGATCGAAGCTTCAAGTATCAGTTGCGGTAGCGAGAGGCTTTTGTGGGGGATTTTGGTGCGAGAAGAAACCCCCGACATTGTGGGGTGTTTACAACCGCGTTGGTCGCTCACAAGGAAGTCACAGCTGGTGGTCTGTAAGCAAGGTGGGAACTTTGTGACACTGTTACATTTCACATTCATGATAGATGAGTCAGTTGGGTGGAAGACCTCGAGCACGTTAGGAAAAGGGATCCAGAGTGAAGCAGTGTTTATGTAGATTGTAGAGTAAGAGTTGGAAGAGGTTGAGCAGGGGCTACGGGGTGATAGCAATGGATTCTCTACTAACAAGGGGACAGTTAGAGGGGGAACAGTGGCTGGATTAGTGTGTGTGTGGGAGAGTCAGGGATGGGGGGGGGGTGGATTATGGCTATGTCTCCAGGTTACCTTTTGGTCAAGTCTCTCTCGCTATTCTTGCGGTCCTCCTCACTCCTAGCCATCCCCCATCCTCTACATCCTGACTTTCCTTTTGTCTCTCCTGGCATATTGTTTCCTATTTAAACAACTACATTCGAACACAAGTTCATGGCAAGCGCTCCAAAACCATTATATAAAATGGTTGTATGTAATTTTGGTTATTGTATTTCCCGACAGATTCTAATTAATTTGATTTCATTGGAACGTCCAGTGTGTCATCAGAGGAAATGAGTTTATTAACGACGCTATGTCGTTTTGCTTAGAAAATCTTGGTATTTTATGACTTAATGCTACGCGCACACCCATGTCGACGCCACAAGGAACTGGCCGAGACTAATGCCTTCCCCGCTTCACAACATTTTAGGACCGAGTTAGGGGATTTGTATTGCCTCTCGGCCAATCACGTGCGAGTTCCCAGGCCCGTAAACAAGTGCCAGCCAATCATAAAGCTGTATGTATGTCTGCCATATCTCTAGCAACGTGGCGTCGCTTGTTATTTGATTTTTTTTAAGCAAGGGAGTTGTCAACGAGCATTTTCCGTTGTCGACAGCTGACTCTTTGTTTCGTCCATCACACTCAGTCAACAACAGCACCCATCATTACCCTGCCACACACCTGCAGGCCTCATGCTACCACACCTGCAGGCCTCATGCTACCACACACCTGTCCCTTGGCTTTACTTCTTCTATTCTCCCTTATTGTCCAATCCTCCCCTTCCTCCTCCTCCTCCCATCCCCTTCACGTCCCCTTAACCAATCCCCTTCACGTCCCCTTAACCAATCCCCTTCCTCTCCCCCTATCCAGTCTCGCCTCCAAACCCGTCCCCTACAACAACAACCATCTCCACCAACCTTCTCCCCTCCACCAAAATCCTCCTCTCCATCACAGCTTAAGCAGCAGCATAAGTCACATTAGGTTAGTCAGTCTTAAAGAGGTTTGATAAAGAAAACGGGATTCTGTTTATTCATGTTTAATTTAATACCATATGATTTGTGGATACCAAGAGACCAAACGACCCATAACGACGTTACATTATGGTGATTAACGGTCCAACAACACTCGCACAGTTAAACGTATTGACTGGGAATGGTCACCCACAGTCTGTTAAGTGGGTTAATCAGGAACATACTAAATTTAGTATATTCCTGATCAATACGACCGATCCTGATCAATACGACCGATCCTGATCAATACGACCGATCCTGATCAATACGACCGATCCTGATCAATACGACCGATCCTGATCAATACGACCGATCCTGATCAATACGACCGATCCTGATCAATACGACCGATCCTGATCAATACGACCGATCCTGATCAATACGACCGATCCTGATCAATACGACCGATCCTGATCAATACGACCGATCCTGATCAATACGACCGATCCTGATCAATACGACCGATCCTGATCAATACGACCGATCCTGATCAATACGACCGATCCTGATCAATACGAACACTCGAAATACATTTCCAGTATTTCCAGAGTGTTACGTTGTTCAAGAAAGGTTTGATAAGGGGAGTCCTATTACGAAAGTTAGCTTCATTCCACTACTATCCGCGAGTATATCAACCGTTTAGTTAGAGATAAAGCTTCTTGTTGTGTTAAGATATAAGTTAAGTTTTATGGTGTTGGTCTTAAGGCTTATCAGCCTCTGGAGGGCCATTAGAGCCACCATAACAGCTTACTGTCCAACTGATAAGTGTAGTGGACTTTATACAGGACTATAGTTAACCCTAAGAGTAATCCGAGAAGTATAGGTACACTTTTCAGTATAAACACACATACACACACTATATATATATATATATATATATATATATATATATATATATATATATATATATATAATATAAACTGTATGTCCTTATCTTATGGGTTATGGAATGTTATGAGATCGGCGAAGTTGTTAAGAGTAAAAGTTATAAGTAAGGTCAAATTATGAGGTTTGATATGGCAAATTAGTTAGGTGTAGTTTGATTACATCTAGATTCAAGTTAGGCCACGTGATGGGTCAGCCTGAGTCGTCAAGGTAACATCAGATTAATGAAGTTTAAACTAGGTTGACTTAGGTCTTAGTAGCTTTTAAAAACTATAATTTCTGACGTTAGTAAATTACAGATAATTACATTCAGCGTTAGAAAGAGAGAAGGGGGGGCGTAAAGAGTGGTCTCTAACGACTCAAATCTGCAGGAACAGGAGACACGAATAAGAACACGAACAGTTCCTGTAGAGTTCCTGTTCTCGAGTTGTCGAAGAAATATCAGCTTGAATATCTGTTAATTCTTGTCTTCTCTCACATAACACGTCGTATTTTGTACGGAATCGACCAATGGGTCAAATATGCGGTGTGTGAGGATATATACTATACCATCGTTTATAAAAGCTCTACCGTCGATAGAGCTTCGGTCTGAGACGTGTGTGTGTGTGTGGGGGGGGGGGGGAGGTGTCCAGGATTCGAGTCTCCTAGGGCCCAGTTGAAGGGAATACCATCGTTTGCTATGCATTGGCCTCGATGGGTTAGGTGGGTTGTCTGAGTTGGTACTCTTCCAGTTTGGGGAAAAATAGTGGCTTTTTTTTTAACTGAGTTGTAAATCAAGAGAATTTACACTGCTATAGATTAGTTTCCATGGCAACGCTACTATAGTTTGGTCTCCATGGCAAATACCACATCACGCCACATCACGGAAACACCACCACATCATAACATCACCACCACTACCACCACCACACTAACAGCTCTCCCCCAGCATCAACACCAGCTTCCTCCCCATCCCTCTCATCTCCCAGCTCTGAGCATCACACACATCGGATACCTTCAATACGAGTACCCTATATTGAACAGTTTCACGACTAACAGCCTAGTCAATCCTCACGTGCTGTTAGGGGAAGGAAAGTGGATATTAATTCGTTATTACGTTGACTGGGAGGATGAGAGAGAGAGAGAGAGAGAGAGAGAGAGAGAGAGAGAGAGAGAGAGAGAGAGAGAGAGAGAGAGAGAGAGAGAGAGAGAGAGAGGTAGTGTTCGTAATGGCAGTGTGAATTATAAACATTGTAATGTTGTGAATGCACTCCTGCAATCAATTTGTCAATAGCAGAACTGCACTCCTCTATTTCTTGACATTAAGGTAATCGACCAGCTGCGTGGAGTTCACGAACTCCTTGGTATGTTACTGCCAGAGAGTGCGGGGTTCCCAGAGAGTGCGGGGTTCCCAGAGAGTGCGGGGTTCCCAGAGAGTGCGGGGTTCCCAGAGAGTGCGGGGTTCCCAGAGAGTGCGGGGTACCCAGAGAGTGCGGGGTACCCAGAGAGTGCGGGGTTCCCAGAGAGTGCGGGGTACCCAGAGAGTGCGGGGTACCCAGAGAGTGCGGGGTTCCCAGAGAGTGCGGGGTTCCCAGAGAGTGCGGGGTTCCCAGAGAGTGCGGGGTACCCAGAGAGTGCGGGGTACCCAGAGAGTGCGGGGTTCCCAGAGAGTGCGGGGTTCCCAGAGAGTGCGGGGTTCCCAGAGAGTGCGGGGTACCCAGAGAGTGCGGGGTTCCCAAAGAGTGCGGGGTTCCCAAGAGTGCGGGGTTCCCAGAGAGTGCGGGGTTCCCAGAGAGTGCGGGGTTCCCAGAGAGTGCGGGGTTCCCAGAGAGTGTGTGGTTCCCAGAGAGTGTGTGGTTCCCAGAGAGTGCGGGGTTCCCAGAGAGTGCGGGGTTCCCAGAGAGTGCGGGGTTCCCAGAGAGTGCGGGGTTCCCAGAGAGTGTTCCCAGAGAGTGCGGGGTTCCCAGAGAGTGCGGGGTTCCCAGAGAGTGCGGGGTTTCCCAGAGAGTGCGGGGTTCCCAGAGAGTGCGGGGTTCCCAGAGAGTGCGGGGTTCCCAGAGAGTGCGGGGTTCCCAGAGAGTGCGGGGTTCCCAGAGAGTGCGGGGTTCCCAGAGAGTGCGGGGTTCCCAGAGAGTGCGGGGTTCCCAGAGAGTGCGGGGTTCCCAGAGAGTGCGGGTTCCCAGAGAGTGCGGGGTTCCCAGAGAGTGCGGGGTTCCCAGAGAGTGCGGGGTTCCCAGAGAGTGCGGGGTTCCCAGAGAGTGCGGGGTTCTCAGAGAGTGCGGGGTTCCCAGAGAGTGCGGGGTTCCCAGAGAGTGCGGGGTTCCCAGAGAGTGCGGGGTTCCCAGAGAGTGCGGGGTTCCCAGAGAGTGCGGGGTTCCCAGAGAGTGCGGGGTTCCCAGAGAGTGCGGGGTTCCCAGAGAGTGCGGGGTTCCCAGAGAGTGCGGGGTTCCCAGAGAGTGCGGGGTTCCCAGAGAGTGCGGGGTTCCCAGAGAGTGCGGGGTTCCCAGAGAGTGCGGGGTTCCCAGAGAGTGCGGGGTTCCCAGAGAGTGCGGGGTTCCCAGAGAGTGCGGGGTACCCAGAGAGTGCGAGGTACCCAGAGAGTGCGGGGTTCCCAGAGAGTGCGGGGTTCCCAGAGAGTGCGGGGTTCCCAGAGAGTGTGTGGTTCCCAGAGAGTGCGAGGTTCCCAGAGTGTGGGGTTCCCAGAGAGTGCGGGGTACCCAGAGAGTGCGGGGTTCCCAGAGAGTGTGGGGTTCCCAGAGAGTGCGGGGTACCCAGAGAGTGCGAGGTACCCAGAGAGTGCGGGAGTCTTATGGCGGTACTAGCCAAGCGCCGCAGTCATCAAACAGTTATGCATATTCCAAGGAAACTTTCCTTTCTTATCGCCTTCTTGGCGGTAACATTGCAATTCATTAAAGTGTTTACGAACGGCAGTCATCGTAAAAACGCCCCCTTCACGCCGTAAGACGTCCGGGACTCTCACTATCTTTTTCGTAAACTGAACACAAGTTGAGTTTCCTCGATTAAATTTTAGGGTTACCTTGAGGTTACCTTGAGGTGCTTCCGGGGCTTAGCGTCCCCGCGGCCCGGTCGTCGACCAGGCCTCCTGGTTGCCGGACTGATCAACCAGGCTGTTGGACGCGGCTGCTCGCAGCCTGACGTACGAGTCACAGCCTGGTTGATCAGGTATCCTTTGGAGGTGCTTATCCAGTTCTCTCTTGAACACTGTGAGGGGTCGGCCAGTTATGCCCCTTATGTGTAGTTCCTGGAACTACACATGACCCTTATGTGGGTCCTGGAAGTACAGTCGGGTTCGTTTTAGACTTACACTCGGGAATTCCGGGTTCGAATCCCTGGCAGGATAGGTATGAGAGGGCGTGTTTGCCCAATCATCTAATGCCTTGTTCAGCTAGCTGTAAATAGGTACCCAAGAGTGAGCTAACTTGTTGTGGGTTTGCTTCCTGGAGAGGGTCAGTAATTTCTCCATGAGGAAAGACCGTAATATATGCCTCTCATGTATATATATATACAGGCTGCCTGTCCCCCGACACTGTATATGTGGGTGTGTGTGTGAAAGTGGGGCGGACGGCGCGACGCCAGGGTAAGCCCCCACTCTCACTGCTGGGACACTGAAAGATGGACACTGAGGCCCGTATTGGCTCTTACAACCGTTGGACTCGTTCACCACCACCACCACCACTACCACCAACACCACTACCACCACCACCACTACTACTACTACTACTACTACTACTACTACTACTACTCTGCTGCCACTTATATTACTGATACTGGTATCACTGGCACTTATACCTCCACCACAACTACTAATGTCACTACAACTACCGCAGTTAAGATAATAACACTGCTAACATTAACCACTAAGGCGACTGACACTAAGGGTGACCATCACTCCTTAAATGAATGCCAAAATCAACCCTAAACACAACGTGGTTCCGCATTCTTCCATAAACACACCAGAGAGAGAGAGAGAGAGAGAGAGAGAGAGAGAGAGAGAGAGAGAGAGAGAGAGAGAGAGAGAGAGAGAGAGAGAGAGAGAGAGAGAGACAGACAGACAGACAGAGAGAGGAGAGAATGAAGGAGAAATATCTAGACCGTAATCAATACACAGCCCGCCTCCTAAGTACCGTCACTGTGATGCAAACCAGCACCCGGAATGTGACATTACCAGAGCGGAGACAGTAAGAGGAAGAGATCTTCACGCTGGTGATGCTGAGGCTAATCTCCAGCATCACAAGATGTGCTCAAGCAGATGAAGCAAGAGGCTGTTTCTCTGTGATTAGCGCCCTGTGTTCTGGTACGCTTCACGGAGCGTCTTGTAACTCAAGTGTTCTTTGTTCACGCTTCTCTTCGCCCGTGGAACTAAATGAGAACTTGTGCTAGTCTTGTAGCTGATGCAGTTGGAGCCTACATGAGGGCAGACATGATAACGACATGGAAGATTCTAAGGGGAAGTAACACCGTGGATATATAAGAAATGTTCAAAGCGAGGAAGAGTTGAACAAGCTGACATAATTGGAAGCGGGAAATACAGATGAGTCACAGAGATGTCAGAAGTAAGTTTACTAGTCGAAGAGTTCGTAAATGTGTAGAACAGTTATCTTGAGGTTATCTTGAGGTTATCTTGAGATGATTTCAGGGCTTTTTAGTGTCCCCGCGGCCCGGTCCTCGACCAGGCCTCCACCCCCAGGAAGCAGCCCGTGACAGCTGACTAACTCCCGACTACCTATTTACTGCTAGGTAACAGGGGCATTCAGGGTGAAAGAAACTTTGCCCATTTGTTTCTGCCTCGTGCGGGAATCGAACCCGTGCGGGAATCGGGTTCAGTAGATGCTGAAATTATCCAAGCCAATTCGATACATAGTTTCAAGTGTAAATATGATACCAAAAACAAGTGAAGAGCAACTACATTGAACTAACGATGTTCGAAAGGCGGGGCCCAAGAGCACATGCTCGACCGTGCAAACACCACAAGGTGAATATATGTAGGTGATTACGGTCGACTATATCTGAACACATCTAGGTGATTACAGACACTACTCTTTCACAAAACAAACAATTTCGTCTGAAAAACTCATAAACAATGCAATTTTTACGTCTCGGAAAATCCTTCGGAATCAGAATTTCTTTCGAAGGCGACAACCCGTAAACGGGAATAAATTTTGCAGTCTTTTGTCAACTGAGATGCCGCTCAGTGTGAGCACTTCCCCTCGTCTCCACCTCTCATACTGAATACATCAAGTCTATATATATATATATATATATATATATATATATATATATATATATATATATATATATATATATATATATATATATATATATATATATATATATATATATATATATATATATATATATATATATATATATATATATATATATATATATATATATATATATATGTTGCTTAATACTTCCTTCTTGTTAGAATTAATTACCTTTCCGTCACCTTGCATGGTAATTAGGTCCGAGACGCCGGTGTATGTGTGTCCTGTCTGCATGCTCACACACACACACACACACACACACACACACACACACATACACACACACACACACACACACACACACACACACAATAGTCCCCCTCTTAGCCAAGTCTCCGCAATTGGGTAACGAACAAAACATCTCTTCAACTCCTGATGCAGGACTGAGACGATTGGGCACAGTTTCCGTTCACCTTATGCACCTGTTTAATTTTTAGGAAATATGTACTCGGGGACTCTTCATTAACTTGTAGAATACATCCTGGAATAGATCAGTATTAGGTCCAGGAGATACGTCGCTGAACCCAAAAATTCATCCCTTCCCCGATACTAAGTCACGATACGAGATTTGGTAGAGTACATACAGTGACACAGAGACTGTATCCGCCAGGCTTTCACTCGACTCTAAGTGCTCGAAGACTTGTTCTTCTCCGTCCCGCCACTCACTGGTTTATGGTGAGGCGACGGCTTAGTTGTTGGGCCCAGCTTGGGGGGACATTGTACCCGTTGTATGCAAAGTGTTGAAGACGAGAGAGAGAGAGAGAGAGAGAGAGAGAGAGAGAGAGAGAGAGAGAGAGAGAGAGAGAGAGAGAGAGAGAGAGAGAGAGAGAGAGAGAGAGAGAGAGACGTCGTGAAAGGGGCTTTATGCAGCTTAAGGTCGTTTTCTAGGAGTGTGGTTGATGGGGTGCTTCTGTAAGTTGATTGGGTACTGCGACAACTTGTATTTTATTTTAGATGTTATTATTATTTGGACCATGAACAAACATTTTAAATATGAGCGTAGTGGTACTATTGTCAGGTGTGGGTCATGTACGTCCCAGCGTGGGGTGGTGTGTGTGTGGTGTGGGGAGGTGTGTGGTGTGGTGTGGGGTGGTTTGTGTGGTGTGGGGAGGTGTGTGGTGTGGTGTGGGGTGATGTGTGTGTAATTCTGCAGACCCAAAGAGGATACTATCATGAGGCCTCAGAGCTTGGACGATAGCACACCACCAAGGACAGGACGAACCACCAGGGACGCTACAGAACCACCAGGGGCGATACAGAACCACCAGGGGCGCTACCAAACCACCAGGAACGCTCCTGAACCACCAGGAACGCTCCTGAACCACCAGGGACGCTCCTGAACCACCAGGGGCGATACAGAACCACCAGGGGCGCTACCAAACCACCAGGAACGCTCCTGAACCACCAGGAACGCTCCTGAACCACCAGGGACGCTCCTGAACCACCAGGGGCGATACAGAACCACCAGGGGCGCTACCAAACCACCAGGAACGCTACTGAACCACCAGGGACGCTCCTCAATAGTCAGGGACGCTACAGAACCACCAGGGACACTACAGAACCACCAGGGATGCTACCGAACCACCAGGGATCAACCCAACATCATGTCGAGGCAGCACTGGGTTCCACACACCATCCACCACTATGCCATCAACACATCAGAGAGTCACTGTTATAAGAGACTCGGGAACCTCGGAATATTAAGCAAGTCCAACACTATGACCATAAAAATTCCTTCACGATAATTGTGCTTTCAGACATTGTGCTGTTATATATAATTACAGCTGTTTTTTAAAGGGCAAAGTACGCTCTTGTGTATTCCTGTGATGCAGACGATATATGAAGTTAATGGAAGTTTAGAAAAGTGGTTTAATTGTCTAAGTGCCCGAAATTAGCTGCAACTTTTGAACACAATGAATGCAATTTATTGTAAAAATTCTCAAAGAAAAATCGTGATAATTCAGCCACAAATTATTTTGTATATTTTTCTATAAACTATCCTCCGAAACCGACGCTGCTGGGAGCAATTATTTGCTCTAACCCAGACCCCAAAAGGTCCTCGTTTTGTACTATTGAATTAGTCCTAATAGCATTCAATAAAATTGGAAATGTTCTTAAAAAACCTAGCCTAGTATAACCCTAAGTTAACTTAATCCTAATCTGACCTCTCCAAGCAATCCTAGGCCCATTATAAACTATCGTGAGCCTAATATTGTACATAATGAAATGTGGCATTTGGTATTGAAATGCTAAATTTAGATTTTATCTTTTTATCGGCCTGTACAAAATTAATATTTTGTACGTAAACTAATATTTACATAAAATAATATTTACAAAAATTACTTAGCGTGAACTTTTTTTTGGTCCAGCGATACATGTTGGTAAGCTCGACCAAATGTTTGGACTAAGTCTTAAAGGAAGATTGGTAGAGTTTTAAAGAGCAGTCATACTGAAATCTGGCGTGGCATGTCCGTAGACTCTTCGCTGCAGTGTATCGCCGACTTTCAGGGCACTCTACTTCCTTATTCACTCTTGTGTTGATGATATCCTCAAAATGCATCCGGAGTTATGCTTATCACATGCCTCTGTATGACTAACCATCCTGTGTGATGGGGATTTCTTAGCATCACCTAGTTAGCCTTTTTGACACACTGTACTCCACTTCATATAGTCTAGGGTAGCTGCTATAATGCAGATGTATCTCATGTATTAATAAAAAAAAAAAGACTCAGGGCGTTACTGTTTGCCAGGTCTTCCGGTCCAGTCTGGGAGATCAAAGGTAATTATAAACTAATCTCATGACTATAAATATGATGAGGATCTAATTATAGTGAGAGAGAGAGTGAGGCTTCTTAGATGAGAGAGACCTCGTAGCAGAAAAGATCTCTTAATTTGGACAGAGACCTCGTCAGTAGAATAAAGACTTCTCAGGTGGGAGAGAGAGAGAGACGTCTTAGGAAGCAGGCAGTCTAGGCACCTCTGTAAATCCCTGTCTCGTAATCAATAAGCAGGTGTGTAAGTGAAAAGTTTCCTCTTCCAGGAACCCATGAACGCTCACCCACTGTCTCTCGGAAGACTGCCAACAACCTTTGTAAATGTCAACCACTTGGGTTGGCCTTTGTGCGTGGGTGTGGGTGGCAGGAAGTGTTAAGGTCCTCTCTCTCTTGGACGACTCAGCTTCCACCATTAAAGTCTACGACCGAGTAATCATGTAAGTGGGACCAAAGTGGTGTCAACGCCACGGGTCCTCTTGGAGAGGACAAGTACTCCGTGAGATTGTTTAGTTGAGGTAATTTGGGTAAATATATATATTACATGAGGGTAAACAAACTTGTTAAACTTGCCTTCTGGTGTGTGCAAAATGTGTTCATGTTACGAGTTGCTTTGTGGGTGTAACACCCAGGCTTGTGTTACTGTGTTATGGTGGGGACAACACCCAGGCTTGTGTTACTGTGTTATGGTGGGGACGACACCCAGGCTTGTGTTACTGTGTTATGGTGTAAACACTCACAACACCTGTCTTCCCCGTCATAACACCTTCCACTTCTGTATCTCTAAAACAGAATCTCTCTCTGTTTGCTTGGCTTCTCGAGGGTCGAGGCCAGAAGCTTGCGGGCAACCTCACACAACTTTTCATTATGATTTGTGAGTGAATGTGGAGTGTCATGGGAGGGGGGAAGGTTAAACCTCCATGACCACCCTTAAGTAGGATTGGCTCCTATTGCGACAACCAACAACTCCTATGAAGTCTGAAGTGGCGGATTGATTTTCCATAGAGTTTTCAGCAGATTTTCAGCTGTTCATCAAACAACGTAATCACAATGTTGTTAAAACGGTGCATCAAAGTAACATTGGTAAACATATCGTTTGATTACATTGTGTGTTCTGAGAGAGAGAGAGAGAGAAAGAGAGAGAGAGAGAGAGAGAGAGAGAGAGAGAGAGAGAGAGAGAGAGAGAGAGAGAGAGACCCCTGTCGCCGCCGGCCACTCCATCTAGTTCATCTATTAATCCATGGCTCCTTCAACTTACCCATCCCCCTTACCCATGGATCGGTGATGAGGAAGGAGAATTCATCTCCCCATCACGTTGTCATGGCAACTCCTCAGTCATCATCCTCCCCCCAGACACTAGAGTATGGAAATGGGAAGGTTAAATGGGTGATTCTGGGAGGATAAGAGGAAAATGAACACAAAAGGTGTAAAAGAAGGGTAGGAAATGTGGAGAGAATGTGAAGCCAAGAAGAAGAGGAAGAGGGGAAGAGGAACGAAAGGAGCCAAAGGAGAGGGAGAGGACAAGAAGGGGAAACTGTGTATTAGGAAATGTAAAGGAGCAAGGAGGAACAATTATCGAAGAGAAAGTTCCAATTTGTCATCACAAATGAAGCGGTGTGTACAGTGAGTCCAGACGCCACGCTGGGTGACGGGACGCACTATGACGGTGATGGACAGATGGACAGGCCTGACTGACGCAGGCTGACAGCCACTTGGGTAAGAGAGCTGGATCAGATATAGAAGGAAAACAGAATCATCATCACACACACACACACACACACACACACACACACACACACACACACACACACACACACACACACACACACACACACACACAGGCAGGGAGACAGGGGACAATCAGACTGACAAACACACAAGTAATGAGACGCAGGTCAACAGCACGAGGGGCAAACAAGCAATCAGAGGCAGACCAACATATAGTTAGACTGGCATTCAAGCAGATAACTAAACAGTCAGAGAGAGAGAGAGAGAGAGAGAGAGAGAGAGAGAGAGAGAGAGAGAGAGAGAGAGAGAGAGAGAGAGAGAGAGAGAGAGAGAGAGAGGACACGTGAGAGAGGTGGGGGTGGAGGGGACAGGGGGTGTAAGAGAGAGAGGGCGGCACAATAAGAGCTTTAGTCGCGTGGAGAACGTTGGTGAGTGCGGACCCGGGTTCCCAGCCTCTCCTGTCTCCTCGATCTCTCTCTCCCCCTCTCTCGTTGTCTGGCTCCTCACACACACACATACACACGTTCTCCCTCCCTCCCGCTCGTCTCCTCAACGGTGTCTTAGGCCAATTGGACTATTAGTACCACCCTGGTCTCCTGCAGCGTCTCCAACAAGCGCCCCTTCCTCCCCGTCGAAGGAGAAGAGACAGGGGAGACGGAAGCACAGACAGAAACGTAAGTGCAGGGGGGAAACAAAAGAGACTCGGCGCGGTGATGTAATGTCTTCCATTCCCAACGTTCGACACCCGCTACACACACACACCTGTTCCACACCTGTACACCCTTGATCAACGCCCACTACATTTATCGGTCGATACCCTTATTTCTGTTTCAGCAACTGTCACCAATCAATTTCTTTGTCTGTGTCTCTGTTTCTCTGTGTCTCCGTCTCTTTATGTGTCTCCCTCTCTCTCTC